GGGGAATCAAGGATGCTAAGACAATATACATCCATCTACGACATACATCTACAGTGTACAATAGTATCTGACAGTTCATTAGACTAAGTTCTAACCAGAAACATGTTTTACGCATGTCCAACTTTTCCTGCAGTCTTGACGTGAAAATTACAAATTAACATGTTGTGGAGTACACTTGATGTCTACCAACTGCAGTGGCAAAAATTGTGGCAAAAGAAACACACCTTTTTTACAGACAAAGCCCATAACAGCAAGACATACCATGTATATGTACCTTGTTGTAAATCTGGAGAAGCAACATGAAGCTGCTCAAAGAATCAAGTTACACAGTACTTAGCCTGATATAATACACACTAACCATTCATGTAAGGTGAATATCCATAATGTTGCCTCCTTGTTTGCTCAAATGCTTTGTATTCTGTATGGACCTAAAAATGTTTATTGAATCACTTAACACCATTCTTGTGAAAATAACTGGAAATTGCAACCAGCAACAATGTATAGATTTACAGAACATGTACTAAAGGTAATTACTGACGTCTTAATATAATGCACTCAATCAAATGTTTAGACTTTATTTGGTTTCTGATGAGTACATATAAAGGGTATTCATGTACCTTTCTGATGCAAAAATGAATTCTTAAGTGCAATAGAAACTAAAGATGGCATGATTACTAAGGGATTCAAACCAGATTTTCTGTTCCATTCAGAGATCTGGAGCTTTAATTTGCTTGTTATTGGCATCTGAATTCATTACTTAAAAAATAATTATGATAAAAGCCAGTTAATTGTAAATCTGTGGTTACAGTGTAGTTAAGCAAGCACTACAAGGTTCATAATATTATCTATTCACATTGTTCTCAACAAAATTTCATGCCTATAGACAAAAAAAAATTGCTCCTGCATTTCATGATTTATCATTACTCATTGTGATTGGAGAATTGTCTAATTTGCCATTCCAAAGGATCAATTTCTAATCAGACTGATAACACTAAACATGGAAAACTTACCGTTTGTATAAGATTTTCTACTAATTTCTTTGCAGCTGCTAAGCCATCAACTTTACTGTGGCTATAAAAGGGTAGAGATAGACTGTAACTCAAACAAACATTCCAGTGGAGTAATTTGGGAAAATGCAAGCCATACACACAAACTTTGGGAATTACATGTACTAGATTTCTATTTAACAAATAAAGAAGCCTGAGCCGTGTAGTACACTGTGATAAAACACGACGGGCATTTGAGAACATGAGGGAAATGTAGAAAACACGAGCTGCAGGAAAGTGCTTTCTACATTTCTCAAGTGTTCTCAAATGTCCAGAATGTTTTATCACAGTGTAATACAGGGCTCAGGCTTCTTCATTTGCTTTATAGTATAGAGGTAATGTGAGAAAAAACAATAAAACACGCTTTTTCCATGTGTTATATGATGATAAATCATGGGTTTTTAACCAATCTTAGCGCACGAAGGGTCCTATCTATATTATAAATAAATATATTTCACACAAACATGTACATGTAAATACTGTATACACACCTAAAGGCATGTTCTTGCTAGGCATTGTTCTTCATGATAAAAAATGGGACAAAAAAAACATGAACTTTTGTTACCTAATGTAGATGTAGAGTGCTTCAAAAGCTTCTTTACCAGAAGTAGGTTCAATAAATCCAGACCCTCTACCACGAAGCTGAACCTGCAGGAAATAAAACAATACAGTCAGTGGAACCCATAAATTTGACAACTACTTAGATTGGATATAAACTGGGGAGAATTGAAAATTTTCAGTCATCTTTTACAACGTTATTGTACTCTGTTTCTCACCATGCAAGAGCTTCACAATGTACAGTGTAGGTCTACTGTATAATTCACAGCTTTGGACAGATTCTCACCTTGGCCCCTGTTTGCATGCTGATATGCTGAAAATATGACCCCTGGAACACAAACAAGTGTACTGACATTATTTTAAATATAAAGGTGATAACAAATTGTACATATTTAACTGTAAGTATCAGCTCTCTTTTGGGCTGCAGTTACATCTGTTGCCAAGAAAAGGGATAGGCAACTTATCTCATTGTAAAAACTGTTGACATTTCAGCATTAACTGAATGTCATTATCAAGTCTGCCGTCATTCACAATGAAAGTCAATGAAGACTGTTAAAAATACTAAAAATGAACAATGAATAACAACATTAATCAAGAGTTATGAATCTGAAAATGCGTCATGCACACAAGGAGTTTCACACGTGTGCAATCTACTATGCGTATTCCAATTTTTTGTTAGACTAGAGGAAATTGAGGACCACCCTACTTTGTCCTAAGCCACTAAGAATTCAAAGAGCTATATGAATGTTAATTAAGAAACAAGTTACTATTCAGTGACATTTGTAGTACTTTGGAGATGGCTTTTAACCTTCCTAGAACACGGCATAGTACATGTATGTTCTGTTTGGTACATACCCCTGGTCCTTGAAGCTTCTCCTTAAGATTAAACTCTGGCAGAGTGTTATCCAGACCAACAAACACCTTGTCTTGAACATAGTGCATCTGCAAGTTAAGGAGCATGTGCAGGAAACAATAAGATAAGTTATTCATGAGCCAAGATTGGAAAAAATTGTGCTTTACAGTGGTGGAATCATCACTCCCAGATTATGAGCTAGAGTACAATTGATGGGAATATAGACCATAAAAAAGACAAAATTTCCCTAAGTTGCTGGCCAGTACATGTACCAGTACATTTTCCATAGCGAAAAAAACAACAACAACCAAACAACATGGCTTTCAAAAATTATTTGCCTACGTTGTTAAGAGCTTTGTTCAATTTAAGGTACATGTATGTTCTGCGTGAGGTATTTACAATGTAACAACCAGAAGTTACTTCCAGTTCATAGGCTATCTGGGTGTACATGTAGTCTGATCATGACAAGGTCCAGGTATCATCAATCTGATAAGTCTTCCCCTTACAGTTCATGAAGAATTTCTCAGTATAATACGACTTAATAGCCTGTTCCTCGAAAAATTTTAAAACAGCCACAACAACCAAATCTGGCGTAGCTCACTGCTTCCATTAAGTTTCTTAGTTTGTATTTTATGGCACATACCCCTGGTGGCAATGGCTGTCTGTCAAAGATCGCTAGAGGTTGATTGAAAGAAGGAGTGGGCAGTGGTGAAGAAACAGGCATTCCCTGGGGCTGAGTTGGAGGATGTGCGTTCACGTCAGCACCAGCCATTATTTCTCGAATCCTTTTCACGGCCACTATGAAAGGAAAAAGACAATACTCAAGTTAAAGTTAAATTAGTTTTAATTATTGTATGTATTGATCTCTATGTCAGGTGGCAATGGGTTCAAAGTTTGGCCATCAGGAGAGGTGCTTTTTCCAGAATTAACGGTTATAAGCAAGTTATCTGAATTCAGCTTTGGTTGTTTCATTCCATTTATTTTTTATAAAGTAGCACACCTTTAACAAATGGCAGGCACTTTAGGCCATTGCTGTTTGATTCCACTTAACAAACTGCAATCTTGATCGATTATTATGTGTCTGACTCTTGAATCTTAGTGAACCATTCCAAACCAGATTCATTGCTTTCTAGTATAGACTATCATCAAATTTTGATGATAAATCCAACACCAACAAAAGAAATATCACTAGAGTGCCAGTCACAAATTACACAGAGTCGAGACAATCCAGTGACAGATCAAAACTTGAAGCAACATAATGCATTTAGCTAACATGAAGTGCAGGAGTTATTTTTACTTCTGATCGGAAAGCAAAGTACATGTATATGACGCCACTATTTTAAGCCAATCACTTACATGTAGCACAGTAATGCAAAATTAAACAAATGCAAATATTATTTTACTATCAACACTTAAGAGGAAACTGCTCTAAAATCATGAATTACAAAGTACTGATCAGCTTACAATCAACTTTCTCCTGTGTGAGTCCCTGAATGCACAGGTACAGAGGTTTAACTCTGAAACAGCAGAAGAGACAAAGACATGTATGACTATTTAGTTAATTACAGGGTATAAACCGGTATAATGATGATGAAACCTTTCTGTAACTACATGTATCTTTTTTCTGTCAAAAATATTACCAGATCTCCGCTGCCTGCTCTGAGGGGTGAAAAACAAAATAGATTAAATCAAATTTACCCTGTTCCTTCCAATGCCTGCTTCTCCTGTTCAGACATGAATTTTCCTCTTGTGGATACAGCAGCTCCACTGTAACGGTTGATCTGAATTGAACATAACAGGAAGAAGTCAAATAATGAAATAAAGAATAAGAACTTTAGTTAACACTTGCCTATCATCACCAGTTCTTAATTCTCCCTGAGTAGGGAGAAGGACAGAAAGAAATTATCAAACGTAATACACTGAACAGTATGTTAATTTACCTCATCTTGTGTTGTACCTCGACAAAGGAGAACACTAGCAAAAGAAAACATTAGTTAAAAGTTTAACCAGTGTGGTTCATCCTATGGCTTATACATTGTATTGTCCTTTGCTTCAATACAACATTATGATCTTCTATGATTTTGCAAAAAAGGGAAACAACCTACAAGTAAATTGGAAAATTTCATACCAAGAACAAATCTACAGTACAACAATGAATACATGTAAGAAGGGCTGCTACTGAGGTTTATAACCTGTAACACCTGTTACAGCTGAGTATGCTCGATTTTCCCTTAATAGTAAGGGTGAAATTGTCTGTTGCTAAAGGTGACTCAAAACTTAATGAAAGCCCTGATGAGTACCTCACTAGTGAAAATCTTTGCACCCAATCATTTAATTTCACAATTTTGGACCCTTGGACAATATTTTGCAGAACTTAATTTCTGCAAATTAGGGAACTTTAATGTGAATGTTGGTTGTTGCAAACATTCTATCATTGTAATAACGCATGTCATACCGTGCAGGAGAATCATTGATTTCCACTTCAGCTGTCAACAGGTCTTGTGTAAGATTCTTACTGCCATTGTTTAAAGCTATTGGTGGAGGGGCAGTGACTTTCGCTGCTGGTGATGGATGACCCTAATCGTAAAATAAAATATTTGAGTGATGAGTAGCTTAACAGAACTTCGCACTAGAAAAACCTCAGCCACTCATCTGAGGACTACATTAACTTATTCACTTAACTTATTCACAGGTTTCTTAGGTTCTTTTTGTCAGGAATGAAAAAGAATTGACAGGTCAGTTTTATTTTTAATCACCATTCCACAGATGCAGGTTTGCAGACATTATAAAGATGTTTGTGTAGAGGAATAACAGAAAACATTACAGTGAAACCATACATATTTTGTTTAAGTTCTCAGAGCTGATTTAAGGTGATTCCTCAGAATTGCATTGCGCATCCCTACTGCGCACGATTTTGGTGTCATTAGCGCGCGCTCACGAGTGCATGCACATACACAACATATACAGAATGGTGCCTTTTTCTAAACGGCTTGTCTTGCGAGAGACAAATCATCATTTTTTCCTTGGAAACGAGTACCAGGACCTAATGATTTTTTTTATTTAGTTTGAATGCAGAGATCACCTTCTTTCTATACAGTGAATATGAACCAATTTCTATTGCAGAGTAAAAAATTGTCACATAAAATTAGACCATAGCTAGCACTTGTAAAAGACAATATGTGGCCCCAGGACACTGCGTGCTTGGAACATATTGAATCCCTGTTGACTAAATATGAGTGCCTTTATCATGAAACATAGGTCAAATTGCTCCTTAGCAATGATGCAACACATCCATTGTTGTATTTCTCGCTTAACTTTCTCCCTATTTTTTTCTGGTCTCTTAAAGTGTAAGGTGAATAGTTTCTGAAAGCAGGTAATTTCAGGAATTATGGGGTTTACTGAAGGTCCCCCTGCTCCTAAACGAATGCGGTGACCCCCCGGTTTTTTCAAATTTTCAGTTCTCTTGACATAAGCAGCCAACAGGTAAAGTTTCAAAGAAAATCTATTGAGAGTTCTACTTCGATGGAATTACCTTAACATGACTACAGTGCATTTAGCAATTAAAACTACATGTTAAACACATTTAACAAGTCGTACCACAGATGGAGGTGGATTGCCTTTAGCGAGCTTTCCTTGAGCAGCCAACATAGCATTCAATTTTGCTGCCCTTTCTTTAGCTGCATCAGTCGCTGACAGGTTGCTGTTGTTTGTACTGTCATCATTATCTGTGGATGGTACGTCCCACTTGCTTTTCCTTGGACTGTAAAAATTGAGTCATTCAGTGTACTGTATATGAATATCCTTGCATTAAGTTTCCCCATCCTTAATTATTATTTAATTAAACCCCATGGTCAACTGCAGACTGTGCACTGTGCAGACTGCGCACTGAGCACTGGGGGTAAACTATAGACTGAGGGTAAAATGCAGACTGCAGACCAAGGATAAAATGCAGAATATAGACTGAAACTTTTTCATTGAATTATGTTACCATTTCCATCATTGAGACCTAACTGCAAATAGGCTAACTGGAGCGTTATTCAGGCTAACCTGAGTGACATTCAGGTTAACCTGAGTGACATTCAGGCTGACCAGGGTGATATTCGGGTTAACTGGAGTGCAGAGTTTCACTACGATTAGCCTGAATAACCCTGGTTTTTTATGATTAGCACTCAATGACAGAATATACACTTAAAACGTCTGTGGTCTGGGGACTGAAGTTTACTCTTAGTCTGCATTTTTACTCCTAGTCTGCACTCAGCAGTCTGTGTTTTACCCTGACCGATTATGTAATATGTGAATCATCTCTAAACAGATAAGAACTGGGCCTCATTGGAATCTCCAAGGGAAATCTGATTTACTGCCCCAATAAGCTTCACCCCAATTACTGTTATGAAAATATAAAATTTCTTTACTTAGAGCAAAACAAGGTAATGTTACTTTTAAGTCCTGATAAGCTACAGTATTGCAAACTTATAGTAAGTTAATTGTCACATTGGCTTGAAAAGTAGGGGAACTTAAATTTAACTTGCTGTGAGTTGGGCATGTCTTTGAATACAGTTCGTTCAATGGTACGACCAAGTTCATACAAAGTAATCCCATTTCTTTTCATTTCCAAATATTCGCGCAATATTAAACCGGTCAGCTTTTTAACTTTGACAACTCTCAGCTTCATATGAGCCGCCCCTCGTATTTGTACACTTGATGAACCACGAGTGAATCCACAGATCACGCTATTAGCGTTTGATTTTCTCACAGAGATCTTCGATTTTGGTTGTTTAGAGAAAATGATAAATAGAGAATCACTTACCGCCGAAAGGTCGCCATCTTGAAATTGTCACATTGCAGGCTATGACTAAGGACTATGGCATGATGGGATAGATCTCCCCCATATTCCTTTCGATTGTCGGAACTGGTTTTGACCTATGTCCGGCCTGGAACCGATCCGAAAGGAGGGGGCGGTGAGCCCCCATACAAAAAAGGACGGAGGTACTCGTTGTATCCCCGTGATAATGGTCCGTGATGATGGACCGTGATAAGAGTCCTTGATAATGATCCGATTATCGTGGGCCTTGTTTTACAAATAAAGCTGAATGACGTAGAACGAACACATATGTCGTCAATAGAAGATTAGGGATGATGAGTTGATCTTTTATCATTTTATAATCTTTGCTGAAGGATTTACCGTATATAAATAAAGT